CTGCTGCATGTGCTGCAGGAGGTGCACAATAGGCTGTTTGTGCAGGCAGAGGGCTGCCTGAGCCACTACTCCTGCTTCTGCTGATCCTTCTGATGCCTCAAGCACACCTGCACTCCTGGACTGACACCCTGAGCTACAACAGTGTCGGGGGCAAGCCCAGCCTGTTCTGTGACTGCCGTTGCCACCTGGAGGGGTATCTGTTGCAGTGCTACACACTCCTACCCCTGGCTGCCAAGGAGGAGTTTACCGCCAGGATCAATGCCTTCCTTGGCATGAGAGAGGCCCGTGCCCACTCAGTTGTGGGGATTCAGGCTGCTTAATAAAGTTCTGACTTGTGTCCCACCTCTCTGCATGCTGTGAGAAGGAACATGGGGCCAGGGTACTGTGGGCAGGCTGGGCAAGGAGGAGGGGCTGGGGCCAGGTGCAGGGGCAGTGGTGGGGTTGGAGACTGGGGCTGGGAGGGCCTTCCCTGCCCCACAGTGTGGGACTTACCATGGGTCTGGGGTCAGCGAGACTGGCAGGTCAGCGCAGGGCTCCCTGGGCCAGGCAGGATCTGGCTGTGCCTGGTGTCTGTGGCCTCTGGTGGCTGGGGGCCAGTGCCCAGCCAGGGGTCCCCCTGGGGAGGAGCTGGTGCTGCTGGCAGCCAGCGGTGGTATGGCTGGCCACTTCTCATGGGTGGCTGTAGGGCAGGGCTGAGGCTGAGGCAGCTACTGGCCAGGGCTCCCCAGGCTGCCAGTGGGTGCAGATGCCAGGAAGGAGTTCAAGGCAGGGCACTAGGCCCACGGACCTCTCCGCTGCTGACATGTCACTGGAGGTGCTAGGGTGAGGTGCAGGCACAGGCTCCCAGGGCACCAGAATGCAGGTCAGCTGCTGCATGAAGGGCATGGTCCTGGGGCCCCCACCAGACCGATGGTTGTGGCCAGTCACAGCCATCCACAGGTCCTTGGCTTTCACGTGGCACTGCTGTACTGACCGGGAGTGGCCACGTTCATGCATCCCAGCCACCAGGGCCTCATAAATGTAGGTGTTTGAGTGCCCACTCTGGATGAACTGCCTCAGGACATCCTTCTTGCCCCACAGTGCACCTTCTTCCAGGTCCAGTCCACACCCCTGTGGCTTCAGACAGATAGGCGCACACAGACAGCGCTGGGGCTGTACATCCAGCCCTATGCCAGCTGACTGGGCTCCTGCACAGTTGGCCCTGTGATGCTGTGACAGGGGCATGGCTAGGGAGTTGCAGCCAAGGTGCTTCACCACGGTCTTGCAAAGAGTGGTGGAGGGTGAGCAGCAGTGGGGAGCACATGCTGGTCCTGGTGGCACAGCCAGCAGCACAGGGCTGGGTGAGGGGTGTGGCAAACTGCAGTCCTTTGCAGCACTCACCTGTGGCCCAGCAGCAGCTCTGGAGAGGGACAGACGCAGCAAATGCAGCCTGCAGGATGTCCAGGGGGGCACACGGGGTCTGCTGGGGTGCTGCAGCCACAAGCAGCTCCTGCTGGCAGCTCGACTGTGTGCCCCAAGGCATAAAATGGCTGCAGACTTTTATACTCTGCAGCTAGGGACTGCCAGAGAGCAGCCCAGCCCAGCAGCAGGAGAGGGGGCCAGGCAGGAGCCCTGGGGATGGGCTCTGGTTGGCCCCTTAGTTGCTGGGCAGACCAGCCAGGAAGCTCCCACGTTACTGTGCAGCAAGGCATCTACATGTGCATTACTGCACAGTAACTAGTTGGGCATAAATTTGATACCTGCATCATGCAGGTATTGAAATTAAGCCCAAGTTGGCGTAAGTTGCCATAGTTGCTGTGCAGTGAGGGCACGCACGTGTAGACGCGCATCTGTGTTGCACAGTAATTTATGTTACTGCACCGTAAATGTGCACATGTTGATGCTCCCCCTATGTATGGAAAAGATTCTACCATACGCCCAGAAGGTGACCTGAGCTGCTGACACTGATTTCTTTCTGTGCTGTGTTCCCACCATGGATATTGATGTTTTGATCTCATTTCAAATAAACCTATGTACATTGGGACGCATTACAGTGGTAGCTACGGAGTCTGCATTTGGCACGCTCCTTTGTATGCTAAGTCCCTGATGCTGCTCATACACTATGGTATTAAGATCTAGAGGTGAATTAGGCATGCCATCAGTTATCGGTATTCTACCAGGTAAGGGAACAATGCAGAGTTTCTTGGATCGCTGTCCAGGAGAGATTTTGATTTCTTCATGGGCAATACCCTGTTGCTTCCTGACAAATAAAGTCCAGCCAGGATATAATTCAGTGCCCCCTCCCACATGTCAGGGGTTTTTTTAAGTCTTCCACAGAGGCATTGGGTATTGACTGCAGCCAAACTGGTGATTTGGGCTGAGGTGTGCCAGTGCTTGTGTTGGATCTTAAAGCTGGTTCCTGTCTATAGAGGGTCTTGCCCCTCCTCTTAGGGTCAGACCTATCTCCGTAGTTGGGGTCTGGAAGGAATTTTACTCCATGATCAGGTTGGTCTGGATTGTGGGGGTTTTTGCCATCCTTAGTGGGGGTCATGGCTCTCTACTTGTGATTTCTTAAGCATATATCAATGACCTTTACAGAAGCAGGACATTGGCTGTCGTGGTCTGCTGACATTACCTGTGGCAGGTTAGGGTGTTATGCCTTGTGTTTGTGCCATGGTTGACTGTGTAGTTTTACTAAGAGGTTAAATTACGGATTTATATAGGATGATTTAGATAGGGATGATCCTGCCTCAGGGGTTGGACTAGGTGACCTATGGAGATCTCTTCCAGCCCTACTTCAGTGATGATTCTATAAGAGATATGCCCTTAAGGAGAATTTTTCTGAAATTCCCCCACATATGCATTCATGTATGTTTGGTGTCTGGTTGAACCACCAGATAAGGAAGTGATGCATATTAAGCTAAATACTTTTTTGTGATGGCTTCTACTAATGTTTGGAAGCCCATTTTTAGCCAATGCAATCAATATTTAAGCTTCTTTAAATTTTGTACATGTTTGTGGCAAAAACAACCTTGTTGAAATCAATGAGAAAATCTCTATTGATGTCAGTGGAACTAGGATTTGCCACAGATGCTTTTAGAAATGTATTTTTAAAAATGCATTAGTGTTCCTAATTGTATTCTTTTATTCTCTTTCCTTAAGCCCCATGAAGAAATTCATCTGAAGACAATGGTGCTGTGACAGTCAACACCATCTTTCTAATTGGAACTATGGAAATTGTAGAGGGCTGCCGACATTCTCACCCTCAGCTGGTGTCCAATGGATACGTGAAAAAGGTTTTTCAAGCAAATCCAGAGAGGAGCACTGAAGTATTAAAGATCTGTGATATTGAGCCATGCAACTTTAGTGGCAGCTACCAAAATGAAAAGGAAGAGGCAGCCAGGTATAAAAAGAAAACGAAGGGCAGCCGGATATGGAATTTTGTTAGCCGAAAAAAAGGTTCCTCCATGAATAACAAAAGGCCCCAGTCCATGATCTTGTTAGGAGATACCTCAGAGACCTTAGAGGAAAAACACAAGCTGTCTTTTATGGAGAGGGTTAGGTCCTTTAAAAAGCTGAGATCTTCCAGCATGCCTAAGAATGTGGATTTGAGAGCATCCAAAGCAAAGGTTGCCTGCATTCCTGAAGAGGACCAACTAGACAATGGGCAAAGAGCAATCTACAGGATTAAGAAACTGTCTGACAGTCAGAGGCCTTTCCGTCATTCATATGCAGGGTACATTGAGGATTTGGATTCTTCTTTTGAAGATGTAGAGTTAAACATCAGCATTCCAGAAATCAATGCCAATGAAAATAAATGGCTCAGGGATATCAATGTCAGAATACATGGTGAAGATAGTGACAATAACTGCCATAAGATGAGAGCTAGAAGGAACGAGTCTCTGAATTTTGAAAACTTTAAGAGTTCTGTGATTACAGAAGGGGACAATCAAAAGAGGTGTCTTATGCTCTCACAGGAGAGCAGAAAAGGAAAAAGCTCTGATGTCTGGAACTATCTGAAAGGAATTTCATTAACTAGCAGAGATAATTCAAAGCTACTAGATCAAAGGGTTGAAACCAATTTCCAGAACTTAGAAAATATAACTGATAATTCTACTTCTCATTTTGACTTTGATATGAGATGTGAACAGAATCTTAGCCAGCCTAAAAAATCAAGCAATGCAATGAAAGCAGGTCATTTTGGTGGCGTCCTAAAGTTCTTTAACAGCATGGCTGGTGCTGCTAGAAAGTGGCGAGCCTCTTCAAGGCCGTTTTCCCAGGAGGAGAAAAGATCTCAGTCAAATTTCAGAAGCCAGAGGCAGGACGCCTCCTCCCACAAAGAGTCTTTGGTTTTTGAGAATGAAAATGCCAGGGAATTCTCTTCAACTGGAATACCTTTATGGTCTCTGGATGCTGAGGTCTGGGATCATCATAATTCTGAAAATTCAACGCAGAAAGAACTACCCCAGTTGGATGTACATGCAGGAGTATCCCAAGAAGTTAGCTGCTCTGCTCCAGGCGGTCAGAATGATAGTTTTACTGAAATATCCCTCTCTCACCTTGAGCCAGTTTCACCTACCTCCCCCTTGCCTGAACTTATGGATGACTGTTATACCTCACTCAACATGCAAGGCCTAACTATGCCTCTGGCTAAATTAGATGCTAAGGACCTAGGCAGCTCTCCAGCAGATGTTCAAGATCCTTGTCATAAAAACTTAGACACCCAAGATTTGGGAAATACTGAGGTATGCTTGAAAGACTTGTCTGAAACTGTCCTGGATGCCCAGGAATTAAGCAGTGCTTCAGAGGATGCCTGGGAGCCAAGCAATCATGAGGATTCTCCAGTGCCAAGTGATAATGAACTTGCCTTGGGGCTGATCGGTGATGAGGATGTCTATGAGCCAAGTAGTGTTCCAGATGATGTGCAGGATCTTTCCAAGAGTAATCTGGATGCTCAAGACCTGGGCAGTGCTATGTGGGATCTCTCGACATCTACTCTTTTAAAATATGGAAAAGGCAATGAGCAAGTGGTAGAACCAGAGGACACCCCTACCAGAGAGCATGAAACAGTTTCAGCTGGAGAACAAAATTCCATTGAGGAACCAGACAGAGTGGACCACTTTGAGTGCAATGAAACGTGCCATCAGCTCAAACTGAACCTTTGTACAATTGTCTCCTTCAGTGAACTCAATAATGGAAAGGTATGACCAATTTCTACCATAATGCTGCAGCAATAAGATGTTATACAATTATAATTACACAGTTCTTCCTTTGGCCTAGAAGGTTTGCAGATAAAATTGGTTTTGATGTAGCTCATTTGGGCTTTCAGGTGAATTAGACCATTGCATCATTCATGGATAATGGCAATAGTTTGCATCTTTTAAAGCCACTCAGAAGGCTTTAAAGGAAGCAGTTGGCTTATGTTATATCTGAGCTATGAATACAAATCCTGAGAGCTGTTATCTTAAAAACCATTTGGCCACATCGCTAACATCCATGTGCCCAAGGAAAGAGCAGCTGCAGCAAAAACAGCTCCAATGCAGAGAGAAGCAAGAATTCTTGTGGGTGTGTAGCACATCAGAGTCCTGAGGCAGCTGTGATGCCCCCTGGTGGCTCCACAAATGTGCCTCCCTCTGCCTCTAGGGTGCCTTCCCTTCTGTCATGCCTGCCATGCCTTGATATAATAATAAGATTAAAAGGGAGGGTGCCCACAGGCTTTAGCGTGGGCCCCAGTTCAGCTGTATCCCCACTGGGGTTCCCTGGCACCCTACTGGCCACAGCTACACTACTCCTGGGCCCCTTGCTGGGCCTTACTACTTCCAGGCCCCTTGCTGGGCCTCTCTTAACTGTGCCACTGCAGGGCACCTATAGCCTTAAGGGCTAATTACACGGCTCCATTCCTTCCCTACAATATGCCCCAAGTCTCACAGGTGTTGCTAGATCATCACTGTCTCCTGTTGAAGCTTCAGTGCCCTCAGCTGCCACCCCTTTCCTCTAGCTAGGCCTTCTAGCCTGGGTCAACTGAATTGGACCTGGGTTTGAGGTACTGGCTCTGGTCCAGCCTTCTCATGTGCTGGGCCCCTTACCCCTGTCTGGCTCTGTGGCCCCATGCTCTTCCTTGCTGCAGGCTCAGCACTTGCTCAGGCCTTGAACTTGCCCCTGGCAGGGCTCAAGGTGAATGCATGCCCCTTGGGCACTAGGGGTGGACCTCTGTATACCATCCCTTACAGCAAGGGCGGGCAAAGTCTGGCCCATTGGCTAGGTTCAGCCAGCAGCGGACTCCATTTCCTAGCAGCCCCTGGCCATGTGGCTAGGGCTGGTTTCCATGGAGACCCCAGCAGCAGCCATGCTGTGATAATGTGGAGCTGGGGTTTTTGGAGACCGGCCCCAGCAGCGCTGGCAGGCAGTAATGGCAGCAGCATCTTCCTGATGGGGGAATTAAGGAGAGGCTATGCTGCAAGCGGGAGTGGGGAGGGCTCAGCTGCTGCCACCTGTACAGGGTGGGCAGCAGTGAGACCTCTGGGGGGGTTGGCTACAGGGGGTTATGGGGAATTTTGGGGTGGCTATAGCCCCCCCCAACCTCCTAGTGCTGCCTCTGCTGGTAGGGTGTGCAGCAGGGCAGGGAGCTGCTCCAGAGCCTGGCTGGGAACTTGTGGCAGTGACAGTGTGATCCAGAGCTAGGGCAGAGCCTTGAGCTGCAAGAAGCTGGGGTAGAGCCATGATCAGCTGCCTGCATGTCCCTGCCTGGGGTGTGAAGGCTTCAGATCATGGATATGCTCTGAACCATGCTGTCAGTGCCATGAGATCCCAGCCCAGCTGCAGAGCAGCTCTGCACCCTGCTGCATGCCCTGCAAGTGCTGCTGGGGCTGGTCTCCATGGAAACCCCGGCCTCACACTATCACAGTGCCTCGGCTGCTGGGGTCTCCATGAAAACTGGCCCCAGCCACACAGGCAGAGGCTGCTGGGAAATGGAGTCTGGCCACTGGCCAAATGCACTATTTTGCCCACTGCTTCCTTAGTTGCAACCCAAACTGCCAGTGCTAAGCTGCAACTCAAACAATAAGCCCCCAGACTGTAATATAAACAGTCCCCTCTGGGCCCACCAACATTAACACAGAAGGAGAAGCAGTCCTCTGCCCCTTTAATTGGGAAACCTTCCCTCATCTCTCATGCTGGCATAGCTCCTGGCTCTGGGCTCCTTGTGAGCTCCCTGAGCCTCACTGGGGATCTGCAGGCAGCAGAACAGTCAGTTTAGCATCCCTTGGTAGCTCTCTCCGGAAACAGCTCCTACCCCTGTGGTTTGCAGGGCTAGACTAACTTGATAGCTCAGGCCATGGGCTCATCTGCCTGAGTCCAGGGCCCTGCCCCTTTCCGGTCAGGAGGTGACCCTGAGTAGCCTGCAGGTGCCTGCTAATTGGCTTCATTGCCTGATTGCTATGATGCCCTGCAGCTGCTGCACCCTGCCTGGCCTGCAGCACTCCTTCTCTGGGCTGCTTCTTTCTTAAAGGAACAGAGGGCTCCAGGCCCCCGGGTCTCTGTTACAGGTGATGTCTTTTATTGGGCCAACTGCACTGTTGGGATAGACATAGGTAAGCTTTTATAGTACCCATCCTCTGGTCTCTGGGAGAGAAACAGAGCTAAGTAGCAGATGGAACAAAGCTTGTGGACCATCATGGTAACAACATCACGTCAACATTACTCCAACATAGAGAAAAGCTTGTATTATTTTCAATAAAGTATTGTTTACTTCTTTTCATTCAAAATGAAGTTTGCTTAAGCTATTAAGTGGATGTCGGTGGACAAATTGTATTCGGGACCTTACTTTTCACCTTAACTCTTGGCATTTCCTGGAGACCTAAGAGAGCTTCTGCTCTGCACAGAGCAAAAAGGTGGACTCTGTCTCTAAGAGATTATAGTCTGAGAGGTGTTTACCTCCATTTGAAAGCTAGTGTGTGTTGAGTGCATGAATCATTTAGCCCCCTTTTGAAAGTCCTGGCTGTAACCTGACTCTTGATAGGGCAGGTTTAAAAATGTTTTCTAACTCATTTTAAAAAACCAAAAAACCCAACCCAGGATATTTAGAAACATCTGAGTTCCTATGTATCTTTCTATTTATTATAGAGATGGGCAAGAGCAGTGGTGTGAGCTTGCCCTTCATTGTTACATGATGATGTCCCTCAACCTTTCCTTGAGCAGTCAGCTTTTAAGTTGAGAAGGATGACCAATGCATGTGATCCAATTCAGTCACTAGCTCCTTTGTTGAATTTTCCATAAAGCATTGCAGTCTAGGAACTGGGCTGAGTTAACCACTTCACAAGGCCAATACTAGTCTACCTGAGGCAGGAAGGATGACATTTTTGACATGCCAGGTTGGGAACTCTGGCCAGTTCAACTTTCTCTTCTGCAGGGTTTGTAGAGACCATAGATTGTGGAGGTGGTGTGTTTAGTCTGTGGAAAAGGGAGTTGTGATACTCTCAGCCAGAAAGGGGAGTGTTAGTAATGGATGGCAGATTTGAAATAATAAGGCAGAAACCTCTGGATTTGTGAGCCCAGGCTGAAATGGGTATGGCCTTTATATTTGTTCCTGTATTAATTCTTTAATGCTGTCAGTGTGTACATTGCTATACAATACATGGAATTAAGGCTGGCTTGATGTCTTATTACAGACACTTAAAATGGGATGCATTGGGTAATCCAACAATATAGAGAGCAATCCATTAATTGTTGAATAACTCACTTCTTATGGCCCATGAGTGAAATGAGGGCAGTGGCTTGACAAAGAATGTTCTGATGGGAAAATATGCTGGAGTGGAGCAAGGAAGTTAACATTATCCACCAGGTGACCACAATATTTTTTTTCTGGGGAAAGCAAAGATGAAAAATTGGCATTACATTTCTAGTGTGGCTTCATCTCTTAAAATACAGAGCTAGCTGTTTGCCATGGCTGAATGTCTAATCACAGGGCTCTTATAGTGAAATCTAAATGATTTCCCAGGTCAGCTGCCTGAACAGGATACATGGCAAGTCCTCTGATTAAGGCTAACCTCCTGTAGCTTACAAATATTACCAACAAACTTAATCAAACATGGCACCAGAGATAATTGGACAGGAAGCTCCCTCTGGAATTCCTGTAGCATCTGCTGCTCTGCTGATAATAGTAACAACCTATTGACTCTTGTGTCTTCCGGACTCAGGCTTCTCTGTGCCTCACATTTTGTTGAAAGACTATCAGGGGTGAAAGGGAAAATATTTGGCCTATGCTACTTTGCAATCAGGTTTTCAAACCTAGATAGGCAGCTGCTGAGGGCTGGAAGTAATTATAGTTATCCAGTGTGCTAGCAGGAGCAGAACAGAGGCCAGAGCAATTGACAGTCGGGCCAAAGGAGGAAGAGGCTGGAAGGCAGCGGCAGTGTGTGCTGGACCTGAAGGGTGTACACAGCCTGTCTGACGTTCCTATGTAAAATACTCTTTTGCATCTGGTGGTTCCAGCTGCTAGTCTCTCCTGCCAGGGAGTGGCAATTGGAAATGTCCTTTTCCAAAATAAACGTGCAATGGAAATGGTTGAACTGAAACATCACATTAGCAGAGGACTCTGTTCTGTCAGCACCCACTCTTCACTCTTCTTGGTACATAAAATTGTGTTCACTACCACTTCAATGGATGATTCCACTTCAGGGATGATGCTCAAGGGCAACCAGCACGGTTTCATTAGGGACAGGTCATGTCAGACCAACCT